TATATATATATATATATATATATAAGCTTATGTCAACTTAATATACATTGTCCATCAAATTTTTTTATCTACGCGTCTTGTTTTAAGATTTGTGCCATCAAGAGATGCACAAATCTCATAAGACTCTTCATATCTTTCACGGATCACAATGCAACATCAAAATATATTTTCGTTGTGTTAGCGAGAAAGGCTCGACACTGAAGTCGTCCATTAGCTTCGCCGAAAAGTAACACCTCAGCATTAAATGTGACGTCCACTTAGTCGACTCGTCGAGTCGACATCTCCTTAGGTCGACTCGAAGGACGGTACTTGTTGGTCCTCTTGTCGAATATGACTTGTAACGAGCTCATTAGACCACTCGACCAGTTATTCGACACCTCGGAGGGTCGACTCGAAAGGCGTTATTTCTCGACACCATTCGCTACAAGCCAAAACACGACTTCAACCTCGACCCCTCCTGACAGCGCGTTGACGTCACATTAAATGTTTGGCAAGCGCCATCATTTCTCTATCCCTGATACTATTTATGACACATTGGACCACGTCTGCTTCGTGCGCCGCCCATCCCATCTCATTAATGACGAAATGACAGCGCCCATCTCGTGGCCGATCCACAACTAACACCTATAAAGTAGACGCTAACTCAGCTGACAGCTCAAGCTCGGCCAAAAAGACTAGACTACCCCTCTTGCTTGGCTATAAAAAGGAAAACTATTCAAAATATAATGGTAAGCAATTTACTTAGCATTTTTTCTCCATTCTGCTGTATTTTCTCATATTCCCGCTCAAGCACCTAGCTGACTTGATCGTCGAAGGAACAACGGGAGAACTAGTCCCCATCCTCTTACGAGTTATTACACGTACAGGGACGAACAACCCAACTCCAAATTGGATATTTGAAAAAGCGAGCGGTCCCTATATCAACTCGGTCCCTATTATATTCTCTTTTAACTGTGTGATTTAAACCATCAACATATATAGACACACACACATACACACATATATACACATGCGCGCACACAAAATATGTGATACATATATACACACAAGGTATGGGGGGATGCTTGGAGTTATGGGGGACACGATGGTAATTTTCATGCCCCCTCTACGGTGTAGATCACCCTCAGCATTGTGAGCTGGGGTGAGAGCTTGTTGCACTTGCTCTGATGGATAGTTCACGGTATGTTTGATGTTTCTTTTTTTATTACATTAGAATTTATGAACTTTAAAGGAGTGAGTATCTACAAAATCTTCTTTATGAACTTTAAAGGAGTGAGTTTCTATAAAATCTTCCTCCGTTTTGTGGTCTCTCCCTTTCCCTTTCACATCGATACAAAACACTAGGAAAGGTTATAATTAAAAATTTATTTTTTAGGGCAAAAAATACTTTTTTTTACGAGGGAACTTATTTACTACATGTTACGGTGTTTTCGATTACCTAAGTGCAATCATTTACTAGCAACGAACATGTGTAATTCTGCATGCAATGCCTTAATCAAATCAACGGTCCAAGACCAACAAAGGTTCCAACCTAGTCGACTCGTCGAGTCGAATCGAAAGGCGACACTAGTCGACCCTCTTGTCTAAGACGACTCGCAACGAGCCCACTCGGCCAGTTACTCAACGCCTCATGAGGACGACTCGAAAGGTGTTACTACTCGGTGAAGCTAAAAGACGACTTCAGCCTCGAGCCTCTCCCATTGACAATGTGTCAGCATCACATTTAATGCTGGGCAGGTGCCATCATGCCTTTAGCCCCGATAGTCTTCATGACTCATCAGACCATGTCGGCACCGTCATGCCCACGATCACTTCTTGTTTAATGCTGAGGTGATCCCTCCTCCAGTCGCCAGCCGACACATGTAAAGTAAGCGCTGACGTAGCCGCTAGCCTATGTTTTTTCACGACCATCTTGTGCTTGTCCATAATGATGGTTCTACCCTTATACCATTAATATAAATAAGAGGTATTGTTCTAACATAAAAAGACTCTCTCTCTCTCTCTCTCTCTCTCTCTCTCTCTCTCTCTCTCTCTTCTGCGGGAGACTTTAGACCTTTGCTTCTTCTACAAATTATACTGCATACACAAGAACTCAAACAGTTCTTCACTTTCTCCACTCAAGCTCACCAGCTGGTTTGATCGTCGGAGGAACCACGGGGGAATCGATCCCCGTCCTATCATGAGTTTCTATGTGCAGACTTTTCAATCACTCAACTCAAAACTAGATATTCGGGTGTAGGCTGTCTAAAAATCACAATAGAAAGCTTATCCCCCATCAACCACCGATGATGGAAGTTACAATCTGACGACTTCCGGAAGGCTGTAATTTGAAGACTTTCGCGTAGATTGCTGAAGGTTACAATCTGACGACCTTCACGACAACTGATGGAAGCTCTACTTCAACAGCCTTCACAATCAACATCGGGAGTTACAATCTGACGACTCTCATATTCTCAAGGAGCCAAGACGAAGATTACAAGACAATGATCTTTGCAACGCTATGACAAAAAGAGATTACTTGGTGATAATCTCTGCAAGGCAAGACGCGGAGGTCCTCCCCGCGTCTCAACATCAAAACGCCAGGGTCGAACCCCGCGTTACAACATCAAAACACCAAGGTCGAACCCGCGTTACAACATCAAAACGCCAGGGTCGAAACCCGCGTTACAACCCCAATACGCAAAGGTAAAACCCCGCGATCGAACCCCGCGTTTCAACATCAAAACGCCAAGGTCGAACCCCGTGTCACAACATTAAAACGCCAGGGTCGAACCCCACGTTTCAACATCAAAACGCCAAGGTCGAACCCCGCGTCACAACATCAAAACGCCAAGGTCGAACCCCGCGGTACAACAGGCGAAACATGAGCGACCCTCGCGTTCGTGGGGGTCCAGCCAACACCGACCCCCGCGTTTCTAAGCTATAACAAACCAAAACGCGAGCGACCCTCGCGTTCATCAATGTTCAGCCAACACCCAACCTCGCGTCTTAATTCTAAGAGGCGAAGTTGGGTTCTGAACGCCAGATTGGGCGTTTTGACTTGTTCAAACACAAGCCGAACGGCCTCAAAACCGTTATCCCACGTTCTGAGGGATTTACGCCCACTTAGGAGCGGATTTAGAGGGCAGTTACAACCTCTAATCCCCCTATAAAAGCGAACAAACTCAACTGAGTTAAAAGGTTCGGTTGGATTTTTATTGGCTTGAATCGACCATTGAAGGCTGACTTTTTGGAGCTGAGAATTAGCAGCAACAGGGGAGATCATTGGGGGAACTTCGGAGGAGATCGGCATCATCCTTCAAGGAAGATCATCTTCAACGTTTCAATTTTCTTTATTCTTTTCATTGCAATTTTCCCACAAATAAAAGATGGCGACTCTGCTGGGGACTAGCTTCTCTGATGAAGAAGTGGTGGCGCAATCCGATGTTCATCTCACTGGAACAATCGTCGAAACTCTCGTGGTAGAGTTTGATCAAGCCAAGTTTGAGAAGGCTATCTCCTTTGGATCCCTTAGCCCCAAGGCTATGCGCAAGATCCACAAAGTTTTCAAGGTGACTAAATC